GTTTTGTACCTTTGTTTTACTTCCATTATAACACTACGTATTTCATCAATTGCATAATCGTTTTTTGTTTAAATACGAAAAACTACATAAACGCGCACTTGTACAATTTCACAGAATACAAGCGTGGTCACGTGCTTCGACTCTCTCTTCTGATTTCGCTCGCGCTTGCAGCGGTCATTCGCGAGTCTCATGTACTAACTCTGGTACCAAAACATTTCAGACATCTTCGGAATCTATTATGCGTGGGAACTGTTCAGAAGAAGGCCTCTGGACCAACATAATTGGATTATTGTTTATTCGCTGACCTGGGCCAACGACGAACTATTTTAAGGGGAACAATTGTTAGTGAGTCTGTACCATCTGATCTCTTTATTTTTGTATACCAAAACTAGCTTAATTATTTTTATTTCTTTGCCACACACTCCTGGTAAACTAACTTATTGTGTAACCAGACCACTACACCACCTATCTGCCTACCTTTTTTATTCTGTCAGTTTCTATATGTTTCGCTGTGTATGAACCATTATATTATTGATATCCTGTTGTACGTCTTAGTTTTATGTGGATCCTTTCAATGTTTCGCTGCAGTCGATATTCGTTTTTTACTCAGTATAAACCAAAATTATTGGACTTATTAATGCTAATATCTATACATATATCAGTCTTGCGTGCGCTGCACTGGCACCGTAAAATATTTGCCAACATAAACCGCTTTTACGATGTTTATGTCTTACCTTCTTACTAGTCATTTTGGGCCGGATTAAGAGCCTTTTTATCTCCATTCCAAATGTGATTATTCGTGTATTAACATAAGCGATCGTAGCATCTGTCGACATCAGGAGATTTTCCACTCACTTGTAAAATTTAGAGCCAGCTAGAAGCCACAAAATATGGAAACTCCACGGCATTCACGTTTGCGCATTATTGATCACGAGCGACTTACCCGAGCAAGTTCCTGGCGCCAAACCATGATCTTTTCTGTTCAGTACGTGACGGCAAACCACAGAGGACTACGAATACCATAAATTCAGGAGGCTGTGAATTTATAGTTGGATAGATTTAACTGAACACCTGTTAACCCTTTGGTTCAGCACCAACACAGCTAGCATATTATGCGAGTTGTTGTTGGTTTTTACATTTCCACAATCTTTCTCTGGATAGCAGGATGACGTTTGTCAGTGCAAGTAGCTGCACTCTCTGCTCGCTGGAGATATTCGTTTTAAACTTTTCTGGCCTGCATTGTGCAGACGAGACGGAACTGGAATCGCCGCAAGGGGAAGGCATTCACCTGTACCATTCTATGAAGGTTGTTGCTTAATACGAACAGTACGACGGCAATATTTGGCATTATTTGGGTTTGTATTAGCGTTTTTGCCACCTGAAGAAAAAACCCGCTGGCTACTGTTAGCGTGCTTCTTGGGCACTTTTTTTGAAAAATAATGAGCTAAGAGTTCACCTACAACAACAGATAGCTATAAAAATAGTAATATACTATTCCAAGCAGGAATACAGCACGCCATTGCCCACCACCACGTTGGTATATAGCAGATGGCATTTAAGGGGCCTGAAAGTGCATGAAAGCGGGGAGATGGTCAAAAATAGATATGATCTGACCGAATTCGGAAAACGAAAGTGTAAAAACCATGGCATCAATGACGGTGAAACTTGTTTTATTTTGTAGCTCGACAGGACTTCGTCGATGAGGGAAAACTGGACCTCGGGATATTTGCGACTGTCACTGGGACGGCCTGAACATAAAATCCGTGTTGTGAGGTTAAGGTGAAGTTGTCAGTAAGTTGTTAGTTGAGACTGCAAAAAACCGGATTGCAATAGAAGGTTAAATGGTTGTATTTCTCAGTAGAATGAGCCAGGACCGTATAAAGGTAATCAACACATTGTGCTTGTGGCACAATTTCTACGGATCGAGGCAAGCCTGTTTTTGCAGGTAACTCGATCAGTGGGAAACAGCAGAGAAGCATTAAACTGCCTGCAGCCCATTTGGCTTAGTACAGCTTTTGCGGTACCGTCATCGCTCATGGTTGGCCCTGTACATTGTCATCATAATTGAAGCTTTTGTTGGTGAATTCATTCAGGGTCGGTAGAGTGAGCCAGGGGAATGCGCTGGAGCGAGCCATGTATGGAGCCCCGGCATTCATCAGTCCATTGAATGTGCAGAGCAAGCATTGTTCTCGCTATCCGGCAAGGGCAATGAGGCTGTGTACCCAGCGTGGATATGGTTTAAATGGTTGCCAGTATATTGCGACCTATATTGTTAAGCGAAAAACAAAGGCTCAAGGCCACTTATCGCGGATCTGCAATGGTTCCAGATTCAAACCAGATACTTGATACGCAACGTGGCGCACTAAAAACGTCCTATTCAGGTGTAGAAGATCAGCATGTGCGACTGGTTACCAGAATGATCTTGGCATGACCAAAAGTAAATATGGGGAAATTCCGTTACTGAGATGATGTCTCACATGAATCAACGCTGATTACGCAGCCATCCACAGAGCTGGGCAAGCAAGAAAGAAATGTGAGATGTAAAAAATCGAATGTTTGCGGCAACTTCACAAGAATAAGTGATTACCTGACGGTCATTTATGGGGTTGGGCCAATCATACAGGGAGCTTGCTATGGCAGAACGGTGCTTCAGGAGCTGCTGCACAAAGCTACTGAGACTATCCAGTTTTGCCCACTTGAAATGAAAAATGAAAAAGCTAGGATGAATAGTGACATCAGAATGTGTAGATTGCCGGCTTCTTAATTCCATGTGCTGTTCGGAAATGGGAACACAGCTAGATCTTCAGATCGGGTGAGTCTATGAGAGTCTGGTTTTTAAAAAATGCGGGGCTTATCGATTGGGAAACACGTGGGGCACGTAGTTGTGTGTCAGACTTGGAAGGTGAGGTGATCACGGTGACACGAACATAAAGGCTAAGGAAGGATATAGTCAGTGCAAAGCAAACTGTACCTTAGGCGTCGCAATGCTTGACTCTAGTTTAACTCAGTTTGCATCCAGTGCCGATTATTACATGCCCACCCAAATTTCTCTTAAACTATATTTTAAACGGCGAAAGCTTCTATTTGAAGGTTTGGTACTTGACGGCATTTAGCTTAACTGTCGGGAAGTGGTTGTATTGAAAATGTGGTAACGAACAGCGTAAACTGAGCACAATGTGCAATGATTAACGGCGGGATCGGTAGGAGCAGAAAAATTGTCATTGAGGTAGTGGAGCCTTCTGAAATGAAAAGACACACAAATATACAGAACTGGACAGTCACTCAGTGTAAGTTGGCCATATACGAAGATAACTGTATTGAAAACAATCACTTCGTTCGGGTGTTAATTAGCTCATCGTGGCTGACGGCGCGATGTGGCCACTCGTGTCCGCTGCCAAATAGAAATGTTCTCTTCGGTCAGTTTCAACTGTGTGGGAAATCGAACGTGTTAAAACAATGGGCATTATCCGATGTAGACTTGGTCACTCCTAAACCGGCAAGGTTCAGGAAGCACAGTTAGCACTACTTTTTTCTTTTGGAGTGCATATCAAGCCGAAGCAAGACCACATTGATGGGATTTGAAGGTAGCGGGCAAAAACAAAACGAGAGTGGCAAAACAATGGTCCTGCTGCCTGACACACAAAAAGAAAACTGCGCATTGCGGAAAATAAGGGATCATCACAACGGATCTGGCGAAGCAGCGGATCTGGTTTAATCCACCGGTCAATTTGAACTCGAGCCTCTTGACCTTGGAGTATTGGGCTTAGGGCCAGATTCAAGAAAAGCGTAAGTGGGGGTGATGAAGTAGAGGAAGTGTCAATGCGGATAAATGACGGCAAGAATCTCATAATCACGATGTACAGCGGAACTGTATAGAATCACTGGCGTCGCTGCTATAATGGGGTCGGGTAAGGAATTTTTTGAAGGGTGAATTCGTGACAATATACAAGCCGGAACGCGAACTGTACAAAAAATTATTGAGCTGATTGAGAGGACAAATTGAAAGTCCACCGAAACGGTCAAATTCAAAGGAAAGGTTCAGTAGTTGGGAATGAAGGCGCCCTGATGGTGAGTGGAACCGGGTGAAGAGCGTGTTTTTATTTGCAATTAATTGAACAAGAATGTGAAAATTACGGTCAACAGCAGGATGTGCTAGCAAGCTGAGTGTGGCAGCGGGAGAGTAACTTAGCGACGGATTCCGTGGCATGCAGCCAGTGATCGAAGCATCAACGCTGTACTGCGTTACAAATGGGTGGTCAGTGAAGCCAATGAAACCAAAAAAGCCGGTAAGCTGAGCGTATTTTTATTGACAAACGGTATGCAAGGCGCCGGTAGTCGTGTGCGTTTTTGCCTAAGAAGACAAGAGAATCATCTCCTGGACACCCCCTATTATACTGAACAAACCAGCAAGGCTTCCAACATTTTATGCGGTCGGCTTCCGGTGGATCTATGGCCAACTGGAGAGGAGTTGGAGCCTGCAGGGCCCTGCTGAACGGTGGAACTCTGTCTCGTGAGGTGAGA